ATATATATACACATACATACATACATATATTTGTCATTTTCCAACAAACATTTAACAAAAGTCTGTTCTTGTCCAGGTCCTGAGCTAGGCAGATTCCATGGAAATATAGGACCAAAGCAGAAATGTTCTGTTAGAAAATCTGTTTTAAAGTTCCATACTTTTTTTCTCTTATTTTTGGCTTAATGAAAAAAAAACACTAAACTTTATGTTTAATTCTTTTTCAATTTCTCAAAATGTTTATTGGTCCCTTAAGTCAGGAAACAGTCTTGTATTTTTATAAGTAATCCAAACAAACTCTTTGTCATTCCATGAATATGTCATGATAAAAATGAAGGATTTTGTGATTTTTCAGAAGTTATTAAAACAAAGACTGTCCCACAGGAATGACTTCATTTATAAGTCCTGGTCATACAATAATTTATCACTTTTTATCTTTGAATTGAAGTATCTGTTTTGCTAATTCTAGGAGTTAGAAATGTATAACCTTGTATTTACAAAGTTTCTTTCTTTTTTTTACTTTAATTATTCCTCACCTCTTCGAACACTCATTTGCACAAAGTTGCTTTTCAAAGTTATTCCTACTTTCTGAAGCCTACTACAAAAACCTCCCTGTGTGGTTATGGAAAGTTTTGAATTAGAAATTCTGGACTTCATTTCACAATAAAAAATAGAAACCAAAAAGCATTACTGATGAAATTGCACTAGGTCATTTATTAATTGTAACTAAGAATTTCACTGAGTTTTGATAACATTATAAAAATACCTTTCAGAGTGATCAAACAAGAATTTAAATGTTCCTTTTAAATATAAATGAAAACACCTTTTCCCCTAGCTGCTCTAGCTATTCAAAATTGAACTACTACAAAATTTCAAACAGTCACACAATTAAGCCATCAGCTTCCCTTTCCTACCTTCACAGGCCTTTTTGTCTTCAGACAGCTGGTACCCTGGGTGGCAGGCACACCTGGGCATGCCGTTCTCATTCTGACATATGTGAGCACATCCATTTCCACCTGTGCAGGGGTCCATCTCTGAAAGCAATTAAGCACTGAGAGTTTACAATTTATCCAGTTTAGAAAGATGTGCACAGTGGAAAATGGACAAAGAAGAATAAATAAGGCACTGGAGCCACTGGGTTTCCCGTAGAAAAATGGAAACGATTCCACAAATTCCTCCCCCTTTTTCCTCTTGAACTCATTCAACAGAAAGTTTTTCCATTTTGCCTTCAGAATCCCAAACCTGGAAAAATTTAAATGTAGATAAAGGCTAAAAAAGGATTAGTTTGTTGTCACTCTTCCCAAAAGTATATCTCCTGTATTCTGGTACGCAAATTTAAATGAAGAATCAACAGAAATGCATTTAGAAATCTCTGCACTTTTCCTCTTTCATCTTTTCCACTTCTGTGAGTAGAAAAAACAACCTTAGATAAATCCTGTTTCTTCTTTTTATCCCCTCTGCCTTTGAACAGTCAGAGTCCCAAAAAAAGGTAGACATAGGAGACAAAGGGAGGCTCCTAGCTACAGATAGCATGGGATGATGATAAAGAAATTCAAACATGATTGCAGTTAAATAAGTTGACCTTCTTTCCCCCTTCATTTGCTCCTGAACTCTAAATTGAAAGCAAGGCAAAGCCACACAACTTACCAGAAGTACCTCCACACAATTTTGCCAATTTCTGAGTGAAGTGGTTCTGGTCTAACTCTATGAATACATCTTTACATGTATTACAGGCTGCTGGAGTAGGATCTCAGGACTTCCACTTCGGCTTCATGATTTTTTGGTACTGAAGAATTATAGATCAATTTATGAGTATTACTATTTGAACAACAGAATATCTGAAGTATAAACTTAAGGTATTTTTTAAAATGTGTTTCGATCTTCAGCTTCTTTCAACATTTCATTGTTTTCGGATTTTGCCATTTAAAAAGATATTGTTCTTTTCATCTGCATCTCTCAAATGACCAGTGATGTGGAACATTTTTTCATATATTTTCTTGCTGCTTTCACTTCTTTGTATGAGAAATGTCTGTTCATTTCGGATGCCCATTTTTGGATCGCTGCTATCAAGAAATCACACAATAACAAATGTTGGCGGGGTTGTGGGGAGAAAGGAACCCTCCTCCATTGTTGGTGGGAGTGCAGACTAGTGCAACCACTATGGAAATCAATATGGAGATACCTCAAAGAGCTTGGACTGGAGGTTCCATTTGACCCAGCCATCCCTCTGTTGGGTATCTTTCCAA